GGATAGGATTGGCATTAACATAATATTTGAGGAGCATTGCAGCTCACAGAATTAGTTGAAAAGAATTCCATTAAAAAGCTACTACTAGTCTCACCTTCCATTTATTACAAGTGCTTTGAACTTTAGGTTTCTAATTAAATAATTCTTCTGACTCCATTGACACACTTAATGCTTTTATCTCTAGTTCAGAAACTGTTCAGTCCTAGATTATTTACTTTGACAAATAACATTTTAGAATGCATGGTTATTTTTTGCTTTACTTGTTGGTTTTGGAGGGTTTATTTAGTGGGGTGTTTGTTTGTTTGATTTTGTTTAGTGGGCAAACTAATGCCCAGTTTTACAGTGCAAGCCCAGATGGTTTAACAGGACAAAACTCTAAATTCACATTGGAGTGAAAACTACTGTAAAACAATGTGAATTTTAAAATAATACAGATTGGATTCACAGTACAGTAAAATTATATCATAGTCCAAAATATGAAAAAGGACCAGGATTCCAGTAAAATAACATGTGAGGACCTTTTGTCTGCTGGCTGTTATCACATCCGGAGATGATTTTTTGTACAAGATTTTTTAGAAGAAACTTCAATAGGGGTTTGATATATGGAACAATAGCAGGATATGGCCTCTAAATGGTAGGAACAATTGTTATTCTCAGACATGTGCAAGTTAACTTTCATTAGCTTTGTTAGATTTTGTGCACACTTTCTGGCCTAGATTCAGCGCTGCATCTAATTTCTCCTGGGGACAGCTGAGACACTGAGTGTAAGTGAACAACAGAAACTATTCTGTCTAAGCAGAATATACTGAGGGAAACTCACATGAGCCTCAAGAGTGTGATAGACCAGTTTGGGAATAATGTGAGAAAGTAATACAAGCAAACCCACTTTCTTTCCAGCTCACCCTTGATGCCTTGTAGGCTGCAGAGCAAGGCAAGAGTTGTCTAGAGGGGCTCTACAATGGGTGGAAACTCCTCAGACCAAAGGAATTTTTAGCATGTAAATCTTCCAGTTTTATGGCAGGCCCATCCAAAAAAACGCATTAGGATGGGAAGATAGAAAGACAGAATTTAACTTTTGAATTTTGGAAGAGGTACGTCAAGACTTTTCTCTAGAATAGTAACTAGCAACTCCATAGACGTGCTAGCTGTTTACATAGTTCAAATTTTGAAGGGATTTTATTTTTACAGAATTATTTGTAGTACAGTATTTAATTCAGTTCTCAGAAAGTGGGATATTCTGTATTTTGAAAAGAGGACTTTCTGTTTCCCTTTCCTTCATTGCCTGGCACTGTCTTTTCCACAGTCCCAAGCATAAATTAATTTCCTTCCCATTCAAGGCCCTTTACCTTTCCTCATCTGGTTTTCTTCACCTATTATTTAAAATTCAAATATTTCTGTGATTTCTGAGTTTCCCCATAAATATGTGAAATGTTGCTTTAGGCTGCATTTTCTAATTTTTCACCAGCACTGTCTCAGCTGCCCAAAGCCATTAATTCTCAATTTTGTGTAGCCACTCCAAGAGGCCAACATAGATTTTTGTGCAGCCCTCTGATAAACCAGACTGGAGAACTGATTCAGCTGAAAAATAATTGATGGAAAAGAGTGTTTTTAAACTTGGTCTTCTGCCTTACATCTGCACAAACAGCTGCATGAACACATCAGAATGGGTGGGGAAGGAAAGAGAACAATTAGCTGAGGTAGAACTGCTTAAACCAACATTACTACTCCTGCAGAACTGCCCATGGAGCCAAACAGCCTAAATGTGCTATTTTAAGTACTCTTTTAAATCCCTCACCTGTTCCAGTGCCTATTAAAAGAATTGATACTAATAAGGCAAGGATTATATCACTCCTGCTTACTGATGGAGCCAAATTTTAGCTCATTGTTTCCTTGTTCTGGTTGATTTGTCTTCTAATTAGATTGTAGGAAACATAATGGGGAAACATAAATGATCTTTTGGCCAACTTAACAACAATCTGACTTCTACTACAGTCAGTGCAAATTCTACCTCAAATTCAAAAGGAATTAGATTCTGTCTGTCAGGATATAATTTCCCTCAGATACTAATAATTCTGATTATTTTGTTGAAGAAGGGCAATCCTTCAGAGCAGGGTCAGATCACTGAGAAATATATTTCTGCAAATAATTCTATGTTTATTATAATAATTTACAGCTCTTTTCAAGCTGTGCTTTTAAATTAAAACATTAATTTTAATCTCTTACTTGTAATAAGTGACTTTTCTGAAAGCACTGCAGCTTTAGAACATGAGGCGAGCAATAGTGCTCAACAGCTGAAGTCATAAAGGAGAGGTACATCACTCCTAAACTGCATTGACCTAATTTCACAACCATTCTGATTCTGTTGGTACTGGTAAAGAGTTTGTTTATCACCCAGAGTTCACTTGGGATATTTGACTGCATGAGGCACAGCACTGGAAAGAATCTGCTAAAGTTAGCAGAGTAGAGAAGTACATTCACGGTTTCTTGCATTGACCTAATTTCACAACCATTCTCATTCTGTTGGTACTGCTAAAGAGTTTGTTTTTCACCCAGAGTTCACTTGGGATATTTGCTTGAGGCACAGCACTGTCATCAATCAACAGGAAAGAATCTGCTAAAGTTAGCAGAGTAGAGAAGTACATTCACGGTTTCTTGTAGTAAAAAATATAAAAGTCTTTGATATTTAACTGAAGTAAAGGACCAATGAAACACATCTTGCTATTATCCAGAGCCATATTATCCAAAGAATAAATGTTTCAAATAGAAATGGAAATTTTCCATTGAGCTATGAAAAACATTTTGTGAGGCTGCAGTTCTCTTCAAGATATTTGATAAAACAATTCTGTCTTCCTGATTCCACTAGTTTCCACAATTCTGTTTGTGTATTTGTTGCTGTCTTTGCCTAGAGATTTGGTATGCATTACATGCACTGAGATAAAATAGGAGCACAACTATAGGCAAATACAGCAGAGAACATGAGGAGAAATGGAAAAAGGAAGTTTTTTCTAATGATTAAGTAATATACTTAGTTTACCCTTTCATTCAGGGAATTTTGCAATACAACCTAGAGATTTGGTATGCACTACATGCACTGAAATAAAATAGGAGCACAACTATAGGCAATACACAAGAGAACATCAGCAGAAGTGGAGAAAGGAAGATTTTTCTAATGATTAATATACTTAGTTTACCCTTTCATTCAGGGAATTTTGCAATACAATAGTCAACCAAAAAGTCATCACTATTCATTATCAGTAGTCATGATATAAGGATATCAGTCCTAGCTCTGAGCCTTACAATGAATCTTCCAAATATCTGTCCCAGTGGAGTGAACAATTAACCTTTCTGTATGCATTGTAAGCTTTTGCAATTACTGAATATTTTTATAAATATTGATGTTAAATAATATAGGATGTTCGACAAAAAGAGAAAAATAATTCAATACCTGGAAAAACTATTTTCCCAAAAGCAACAGAAGGTGTCACTGCTAACTGATTTTAAACAAATGAATCCCTCAGTAGAAAACACTGTCTTTGTTTTGAAAGAAACTTGAACACTGTTTGGGAAGGTAATTGGGTTCCCTTCTCAAGTATTCACCAGCTCCAAACATAAACATTACATTTAAAAATGGAAAAGACTGCTTCACACCATCTAACTCTCCTTTCTGTTTGCTATTATTCCCTGCAGCTGTTTCACTTCAGGCTATGATTCACAGTCAAAGCAAGAGGAGTTTAGCCAGTATTTGGATAGAAACCTCCAAAGGGCCTTTTAACCCATTAGTGTAGGAGATCTACTAATTGGGGATTTTCCCTTCAAATACATCATTTAAGATGCTGCCAAAATTAACATGAGGATGCTGGAGAAATCATTCTCATCAAGAAATGTAAAACTGAGTCTCCAAGTAGTTTGAGATGGCAATATTTCTGTATACTGCATTTCAGCTTGTGTAACAGCTACAGCTGTCTCTCTAAACTTGTGATATTATTTTAACTCTGTGTGGCAGTCCTCACCCCCTTGTCTTCCTCGATACCGTAGTGTTGCTGTTCTATGTTAAACAGCTGCTACATCCCATGCCAGAGATGGCTGCATAACAGTGACGGGTGAGGTGTTATTTTCTAAATACACTTATAGATTTTGAAGTACTTTATGGCTGTTTACAAGTCTCTCCATCCATTCAGATATATCTACATGTGAGGCTAACGTAAAACAGTAATATAATACACATTTTCCCTCCTTAATAAGCTTAATTTTTGGTTTCTGGAGAGCAGCAGGAACTCGCATCCTTTTTCCTCGGGACTTCCCCTCCCTAGAGGTCCCTCCCGGGCTGCCCGCACCCAGCGCCGTGGTCTCACCGGGTCATGGCTGCTGGCTCTGCAGCTGCGGGCCTGTGCTCCGAGCTGCTATTTACTCCTTGTGAAGTAATTGCCAAAGCTGTAATTAAAAAAATATATCTATTTTATATATATATATACATATAAAGCCCGTGGCTTTTAGCCATCACGACTGCATGCTTAATAGCTGCATCCAAGCACTCTCTCCAAGCTCCCAGCCTGGCGGCTCCAACACAGCCCTCCCCTTCTCTTCCCCAGAGAAAGGCATTTCAGGTCACTTGAATTATTTAGCGGGGTGTTTTTAACCATCTCAAGGGCTTTGCTCCTGCCGTGCGGCGCCTGCAGAGCTCGGGTTTGTGGGTTTATTTTTTTATTTCTTTTTTTTTAGCACGCGAGGTGGAGTTGCTCCACTTCGCTGGCAGAAGGAGGAGATAAAGCGCGAGGGGAAGGCGAGAGGGGCGGCTTGGCGTGTGGAGGGGTGGGGAAAGGCCGCCACACCTGCGGGCCGCGCTGCCCCCTCAGGCCCGGCCCTGGCCGCCGGGGCCGCTCACCGGGTCGCTCTAACGCAGCTCTCTCTGTCTCTTCTTCCCCCCCTCACCTCCCCCGCCGATTCTCCTTTCCCTCCCGCTCCTCATTCATCCTCCCCTCTCCCGCCCCCTCCCCGTGCAGGCGAAGCGGGCGCGGCAGGAGGCGGAGCGGGCCGCCGCACGTCCCCCGGCCGGCCGGCCGGCCCCCCCGCCATGGGTCGGAAGCGCTGCGTGGGGGGAGACGGCTCCAAGATGGCGGCGGGTTGCTGCGGGGTGAAGAAGCAGAAACTCTCCAGCTCCCCTCCCTCGGGCTCGGCCGGCCCGGGCGGCGGCGGTGGCGGCTCCCACTGCGGCGGGGCGGCGGCGGCGGGGGGCGAGCCGGCCGCCGGCCTCTCCCCGCCGGCCTCCTCGCTGCTCGCCTCCCCCGGCTCCGGCGGGCCCGGCTGCAGGAAGATGGTGGTGTCGGCCGAGATGTGCTGCTTCTGCTTCGATGTGCTTTACTGTCACCTGTACGGATACCAGCCCCCGCGGAGCCCCCGCTTCACCAACGACCCATAGTGAGTATCGGCGCGACCGCCCGCGTGGGCGCCTCGTGCGCGCCCGTCCCGCCCGGCTCCCCCCCGGCCGGGCGCCCTCCCTCCCTCCCCGCCGGCTCCCGCCTCCCGCCCGGCACCTTCCCCGCCGCCCGGCCGCTGTCCCGCGCCGGGCTCGCCCCGGGGAGCGCCGCGCTGCCCGCCAGCTCGGTGACTCCTCCCCGGCCCCTCTTGGCCGGTCGCGCACGGGGCTCGCTGGTGCCATCTCCCCCGTGATCCCTCACACCTCTGGCAGCGCCCTGCCTTTGTGGCAGGCTCCGCGGCCACCTCCGGCCGCTGCGCTCCGTGGGCAGTGCCCTCTCCCCGCCCGTGTCTGTGTTCAGCAGCCCCCGAATAGCTCGTTCCACCAGTAGTCCTTACTGGGACCCCTTCACTAGGCAGCCTCTCGCTGTCCGTGTGCTCTGCGTGAGGGCGGGCCTCTCCTTCACCAGTGCTGGATGGTGAGTACCCGGTGTAAGAGCCCTGTCGTGCGAGTCCCAGATTTGTGAGCACTGGTGTACCTGTACATTTCCCATGCCAGGCACTTGTAACGCTACTTTGGTCTCATATCGTTCAGAGTCCTTGCTTTGTAATGATTCCTGAAGATCACCCAGTGTTAGACATCCCGAGTCCCTGAGTAATCCACCGCATCAAATTCCCAGAGTTTTGAACAGATCACATAAACACCTGTTACTCCCATCCTCTCTGTGCCTCCCAAGCTTCCTTGCAAGAGTGTCCAACAAGGGTCTGTTTTATTCCCATCCTGGCCACTCTTGTTCAGTGTTTGTCTTGAACCCTGTGCCACACTGCCTTCAGAAGTGACCTGCCAGGACCGTCTTGCCCAGCATGTGAGCACCTGCAGCCTGCCTGTGCCAGGCAGCCGGGCATGCTGCTGCAGATAGAGCTCAGACACTTCAGGGAGTAACTTCTCTCTGACAGGAAGTTCCTTCCTCTCAGCAGGGATGAGTTACCGGGTTGCTGCATGGTCCAAGTCCGTTTGATTGCAGAATTAATGTAAGGGGTTGTTGAAATTAAGTTTCCGCTGTTCTACTTTGCTTTTATGGGAATGGAGCTCGTGTGGTGAGTTTCCAAGCTCCAGCTGAGACTCGGCTGTGTTGGTCCACCAGAGTGCATGTCACTTTTTTCCTCTTATGTATAGCATGACTATCAAGTTTGTGAGAGCCTGTGCTTTCTCAGTACTTAATGAGTACGAGTTTTCCATGTGTGTCCTGGACCCTCGTGCACCTTCACCAGTGCAAACAGTTCTCGTGCAGTCTGTGTTTCATTAATGAGATGTAGTGTATGCTTCTTGGTGTTTGAAAATGAAATGTATTGATAATCTTATTTGTAGTCCTTGCTGTTCTAACACCCAGGATCTATACATCTCCTGCATACTTTCAGCTGCTGTCATGACAACCCAGCTCTGTGGATTCCTACTTAACCTGCCACCCCAGCAAGTCTTCCCTATATGCTCTTCATAACTCCTATGTGATTTCATCAGAGTATCAATAATGAAAGGGAGACTCCACTGTGAGTTTCTTTACCCAGGTCTTTTGCAAATCCATGTCTGTCCTTTTGTAGATACCAACTGTTCAGCAACTGCTGCTCTGAGTAGCCATTTTGCTGTGCATTGTCCCGTGTCTGTTCTCCATCCCATTATAGGTTGCAACATCAGCTTTATGCTGTTCCACTTTTTCATTGCTGTAAGAGAGTTGAATTTTGTCTGTGTCTCTGTGACAGTATTACATTGGTTTTATGGTTTTTTATCTTTGTTTGAGATGATTTGTTAAACAGATTAGTTCTACTGTCTGTTTTATTACTGGAGGAAACTGAGGCAGGGAAAAAGATTTCAGCACCAAAATGTTTTCCAGTAAGCACTTTGATTCCTCTTAGTAAGCAGTAGATCAATTTACTTTTTTTCCTCCTGCTTCTTACTTTAATAACAACACAGTTGCAAAATAAGTAAAATTATTTTAATTTTTCTGAAATTCATATGTGTTCTTCTGACTTAGTTCCTAGACCTGGTGAAAAGTTGCTGCATCAACTTCTGAACTTCTAGACTTCAAAAAGTGCCACTGTCACTAAAATTAGTAATGTAATTTCTGTTTATTCCCATGCTTGTGCCAGCATGCAGGGTTGTACAGATCAGGAAATGAGCTAACAATAGGTTTGTATTTTTCCCCAATTGGTTACTGAATTTGGTTCTCTCTGGATCATTGCATGGCTTCACAAACATTCGTGCCTGCACAATTGTGAGGTGGGAACAAGCAGACAGATGGCAGAACTGCTGCTTTCAGCAGCCTTGTGAGCTGATTATGTTTGTGCAGTTGAGGATGCAACTTTGAAATAGTTGTTCAGTATTACACATAAAATTTTAGGTTGGTGAATAAATTGCTCCTGCTAAGTGTTCAGAGGCTGCATGATTTCTAGCATTCACAAGATTTGCAGGCAGTCTCATTGATAACTGGGTAACTCACAAAGATTAGGTGTTGATTTTGAAGCTGGGCTTCATCCTGTACAGCAAAAAAAGTCTGAATGAGAACTAGTGTTTTTCAGTGAATGTGTATTGCAGCTTTCTGCCTTGAATTCATTTGGAGGTTCTGTCCATAGACTGAAATACCTGGTCAAAGAGCAGTGGCCTAAAATAAGGGTTTGTATGTAAATTATAGAATTATTTTTTAAAGTTATGTTAATTACGGGGAGGATGAAAGACCTGTGAGCAGGTATCCTCACACAAACATGACTCATACTCCTTGCAGGTCTTTGAATAATGAAACTGGGTATGATCAAAGAAAAGCAGGTGGCTGAATCACTTGGACAAGGGGTTCTGGCATGTTGTCTTTAGAACAAAACCTGCTTATGATACCTCTGGATTTTTCTGACTTTCTGATGCTGAGATGATGACGGCATCAGGGCAGCAAATTCAAGGCAGCAGGAATAAGTCGAAAAGCTTGTTTGAAAGGGTGTGGGTTTTGAACTCTAGGGCAGCCCATACATGGATGAAACAGTTGGCATGTTCCTGTCTCTGGAGTTCCTAAAGCACAGAGAATAGGGTGTCGAGGGTATTGCTTGGGAGGTGTTGGGTTGGAGGGGGTGGTGACTCATGGAGTTAAAAGAAGATAGCTGGAAGACGTTGAATCTCTCCAGCAGTGTTTTGTTGAGAATAGGCAGAGCAAGTTCTTCCATCCATGGACTTACTCTCCTCTTGTAGGCTCCATGGATGTGCTGACATTTTATTCTGTCACTCTTAATTGAAGAACTTTCTCATACCTTTAATTTCACTTCACTTTGGGTTGCTCTCTAAGCCACCCTTGTCCTTCTTTTCAGGATATGTCCTGCGTGGCCTATGCCTTGCTTCCACCAATGTGATGGCTCTCAGACTACAGGTGCAGAAGGCATGTAGAAATTACCCTGGCAGTGTGAACACTGATACAAAATTTGAAAATTGCTGACCCAGATGAAATTGTCTCTAGGACAGAATGTCATTTAGACACTGTTTTTGTGACTCAGTTTGATGAGTAAAGTTACAGAACACTGAACTTGTCCATAGAAATTAATTGTAAGGGGATGCAGGAAGAATTGTAAAAGCATTTTAGCCCACTCGTTTATGTTGCTTCTCTGCAGGACTTGGTTGTATGGCAGTGGAGACTTACATTGTTTTGTGGCATACTCAGTAATAATTTATATTCATTGTTACACTCCAATATTACACAACAGCTATAATGATTGCTTGGACATGGCCAAAGATCAACAAGGAAACACACAGGGAAGTGTTCTTTCATGTCTGTGGGTCTGTCTGACTTCATTCTGGTTTTCATGTGCATGTCATGTGGATCTGTACGAAGTTCAATATTTTCTTCTGAATTAACAGGGTGTATTGGTCTTTACTGTTGAATGTTAAATGTTGGAATATGAAGTAGTGGTTCTTCTGAAGAGTGGCATTCTGTGGTAGATGCTTTGAAAATATAGTACAGTAGAGAATGTGTATTTTGGCTGGCATTGGCAGTGCTCAGCAGGGAATTCCCAGCATATTTCAAAGCGGACTGGTGAATGCATCTTGGTGCAGCAGAGGGGCAGAAGGGATAAGGTTGCATGGCTTCAGAAAGAAATTGCCTTTGCCAGTGGGTTCATCCTCTGATATGACTGGTGAGCTGAGAAAAAAATGCTATGATAAACTCCAAATTAGGTTATCGGTAATTTGAGGACTTTTTCCTTCATAAGTTCACTTTAGTGAGCTGTTCTTACATGCAGATGAGGTAGTTTCTATTAATACAGAAAATCAAATCATTGGCAGTCTTAAGGATAGACCCTGGTTTTGTTTCTTTAGCTAAAAGCAGTCACCACAAAGTTATACTAAGTGCTCTGATTCTCTGCAGTACTAGTTCTGTGGAAGTTAATTGTTCTCATACTCCTTGTAGGGTGAAGAGGAGTCAGCAATGACCTCTCCTTGTGCCATCAGTCTAGTCATTCATTTTTATTGCCTCCTTTGGTTTAGTTACATTCATAAAGTTTGTCATATTTTCTTTAGCAGGAACATAAAGCACCAAATTGAATAAAGACTTTCATGGAAATTCAAATTTTAACAATGTTTTTGACATTTAAAGTCTCTGTCAGAAAAATGTATTTTGTGTCTAGATTTGGTTTACTTCACATGTACATCTGACTTCACTATTTCTGTTCTAGAAATTGTTGAAACGTTAATGATTTAGGAGTGCAAGTATTTTATTTGGAGCTGCTGAAAAAGTATGCAGTTCTGCCTTCTCTTCAGTTGTGAGTTAAATGTAATGATAATGTTATCTAGCACTGAATAGTAAAACAAGAGAAGTTTAATGTTGTCACTTTTTGGTCGCTGACAGTTAAGAGATAACCAGAAAATAAAAGTTTGGAACCCTGGGCTAGCTCATTTTGCTTAGTTTGCAGATCTAGACTGTGACCAGTTAATGAAAGAAATGTAGTCTTTCATTTTTTGTTCTCTCAAAACTCAT